AAATGCAAAAAGCGTCACTTTTACTAAATATCTAATCGTTGTAATACAATTTATCATTTTGAAACACTAATATTTGTGTTCAGCGAAGTCTCCCGAGTAAAACAGTACCCCCCCATGTACAGGTTTTATGGTGTCTTGGAAAGTTATAGGGTTAAATATAGTGCTAGCAAATTAAATTCCCTTTACTTTCGGCACGGGTTGTCAGGCAGGACCCGCTAATTGTAATTAATTAAGATACCCAATTATGTAAAAATATTACATAAATATATATGCAGAATATATGTATATATATCTATATATATATATATATATATATATAGATATCTATATCTAGATATCTATATATCTATATCTATATCTATATATAGATATCTATATATATCTATATCTATATATAGTGATATATACGTATATATTTATGTATATAGATATATATATTATTTCGTTCTACGTGTATTTTGATATATATATTAATTTCACAATACAGTTAGAACGAAATAACACATCTATATATTTTTTATTTATTTTTAATTATTTTTTTAAATTTAACATATTTACATTTTTATTTTTTTATATTATATATAAATATATATAACAATAATTATATATATATTTAATCAGTATCAGTCTACGTGTAATTTGAGAGAGAGATATATAGATATATAGATATATATATATATATTTTAATAGTAAAATACACCTAGACGGTGTACGCGTGTGTATATATATATATACATACATATATATATATATATATATATATATATATATATATATATATATATATATATATATATATACACACACATATACATATATATATATATATATACACACACATATACATATATATATATATACACACACACATATACATATATATATATATACACACACATATACATATATATATATATATATATACATACATACATACATACATACACACACACACACACACATATACATATATACACACATGATCTAAGTATATATTATTTTCTTTTTTACACTATTTATTTTATTCATTTCTATTTTCAGCCAGCAGGGGGACCACCTGTCATTACAGGCAGCCCCCCTGCTGGCAATGCTGCAGCCAGCTACCCCCAGCCATGTGATTATGGGGTCCTCGCAAGGACCCCACTCTCACATGGCCGGGGGGCTTCCAGGAGGACGGAGGTGCCACGGGGGGCTCCCTGGGAGTCCCCCGAACCGCGATCACCGGCGACCGGGTAAGTAGGAAAAGACCGGAGGGCGTACTATTACGCCCGGCGGCGTTTAGAGCCACTTAGAATAGGGCGTAATAGTACGCCCTCCGGTCTTAAGGGGTTAAGCTAACGTTGTTCGGATGACTATAGTGTCCCTTTAATTACTAGCTGCAGTCACTTATAAACACATTTGGTGTGATACCTGAAACATCAAAGAAAAGGCAGTGTTTATATAACTGTCTAGAGACACCTCCAGTGGCAGTCACTCAGACGACGGCTAGAGGTGCTTCCTGGGACAGTGCTGCACAGTGTGCATAGAGACACTGAATATTCCTTATAGAGATGCATTGAGTCAATGCATCATCTCTCTAACGATATGCTAACTGGCCAGCAGGCTGTTTAGCTCCGATCTGCCTCCTTGGCTGAGATCATCAGAATGGATGAGGCTGATCGGGGACAGAGCAGGTGGACTCATTCGGCACGGTTATAAAGGAGAGTACTTACATTATTTAAGAAGGGGGGGAGGGGAACAGGGAACCTAAATAGTGTTTTAAACACTATAGGGTCAGGAATACACGTTTGTGTTCCTGATCCTATAGTGTTTCTTTACACAAAGAAATGACTACAGTCATACCCTAGCTTTAGGCCCATTTCAGCTCTTCACATTCTCACTTATTAGGCTTACGCTAGTGACATTTCCTTAAAGCAGCCCCTATAGAAGACAGAGCAATGCTTTGGGTATAAAACATCTCCTATGAATTAGGGTAGGGGATTCCAACCAAAAGGGTTGTGTTCTCACAAAAAGGAGGAGGCCAAGTTAAAAATATGAAAGTGTTAAGTAGCCTGTGTTTAATGCATTATTAAAGTGCTCTAGCATGGGGTGAACAAGTAACCAGGGCAATTTTCGCACCGGGGCCCCGTGGTTTCTAGTTACGCCTCTACTTCATCCGCTCCTAGGGACTAACTCATCTTTTGTACATATTATAGCTTTTGGCTTTTATACTGGATTATTTTCGCATGTCACATTTTGTGTATATTTGGAGAAAAAAAAAAATAGTTTTACAGCACTTGGCATCTCAAAGGAACAGTTCAGGCACCATAACAACTTGATTTAACTTAAGTTGTTAAGGTGCCAGGAGGCCCCTGAGCTTACTTTTTCAAAGCCAGTTTTGTGAATGGAGAATCACCAACTGGCTAAGAGCGTCATCTGTCTGCTTCCAGCCAATCACCGCCGCCCACGAGCGCCGGCACTTGCTTACTGAAACTTCAAAAGCCAGATGCCTCCAAGAGGATGTTGAGATCGGTGCTGGAAGCAATGTGTAGAAATGCATGGCAAGGTATTGCAGAGCTCTGCACTAGGGCAGGGCCGGATTAATTTAATTTAGATTATGTTGTAATGGTGCCTGGAGTGTTCCTTTAACTCCACCTTCTCTGTGGTATGGTTTCCTTTCCTCCAAAGCAGCAGTATCGCATGTCATCAGAAAACACAGCAATGTGTGTTTTCTAACGGTCCAAGAAAAATAAAATAAAATCCAAGGCTTAGGAGGTACTTCCAAACTAAACACAAAATAAAATAAAATTTATGACTTTTCAGTCACTAGTTAGTTGCAGTCATTTGGCTGTAGATATGCCATTTTTGGGTTACTTCATGCAGCCAAGCAAAGTGCATCCACATCAAGAAACATTTTAAAATCTTCCCATGTCAGAGTGTTTTGATCAACTACACTTTTCTATTAGAATAATCTGAATAATTATTTATTGACACACATACAGGCCCATGAAACCACATTTGTCATTGGGTGCATGAGGATATCATTCTGTGTCTCTTCCTGTCTGCATGGTCAGCTGGGAGAGGATGGCGGGGCCAAGCACCAATGTAGGGGTTGGCTCCTGCCAGAGCCATGTGTTCCTGCTCTGCAGGAAATCCGAAAAAAGGAATTTGTTAGAGAGTTTGCTCTCTCACTCCTCCCTGCTGCTCTCCCCTTTGCTGGTGTACCGGCCGCTGGTAGCGTCAATGCTACACGAGACCCACAATAGTCCGAGGAGGGAAATTTCATGGCGTCACAGTTCGGCCCTGATTCTCACCCACTTCAAATTCAATGACAGAAACATTACAGAGAATAGTGAAGATTGGGTGGGTTGAGTTCTGCCAAGAAATTTGAGATTAAATACTCAAATAAAACCACAGGTATTTCTGCATGTCTCCAAACAAACCATTAATATCAATTATCTCAGCACTTTCAAGTAAACATAAAATTAAAAGCCACAGATCCACATGGGCATCTGAATTCTGTTTTATCAAGATCAAGCTTCCTGCACACAGACACTGACAATACTGTCTCCTGGGCCCTGAAAAGACTCATTAGGAAATCAGCAGGATTACATTCTCTGCACATAATTAGGTTTCTTTGGACAGATCTACATCTATTAAGCAGAAAAGTGTTTTGTTTAAACCTGAGTGATTCGCAAATTAGAAAAGGGCATTAATTACATCAACAGTCTGTGCTGGTGAAACATGGAGATCCCACAATGATTTACATCCACATCTTCCTGTATCCAGAATTATTGATACTGGTTTTATTGCAACAGAAATGTATAGCTATCTCCCACATAGAGACATTAAGACCTTATACTCCAGAGAGGTGAAAACCATAAAAGAAAATTATTGTCGATAAAATAGAATTAGTGTGGACTGTATTTTCATTAAAAAAATCAAGAAAACAACCATCAGGTCAAAGTAAGACATAGATATAACACGTGATTTGGCCTGACCTGATTTCTATTATTTGCAGGTTATGCCACTTTGCAGACGTGCTAGAGATTAAAGCGGGACTGTCACCCCAAACTGCAAAATTAAAATTTCATAAAGATTAAGTCGACTGTATTGGAATTTCACCAGTCAAAAGATACATGGAAACAAAGTACTACTTTGTTTCAGTGTTTTTCCTAAACTTGACACTTCTAGACACTGGGTAGAGCTACTGCCTTCTAAAAGTATCAATCTCCCAGCAGTCACATGTGACAGCTGCAGACTGTCTATAAAGAATCCCATTGCCTTGTAGGACACTCCATTGACTTCAATGCTGTACTCTCGTGCATATGCAAGAGTACAGCAATGATGTTGGCTCCTGGCACTTAACAGCAAGGAGGAAAAGAGGACTATCCAGAAGAAGATGGTGGCGCCTTCGAGGGACAGGTCCAGATAATTAAAATTTCTTCATTTTATTCGTTAAAAAACTTTGCCTAACCCACCTCCCTTTAAAGGAAAATTGATCACCAAACTCACTTCTTAATAAAGTGAACTTGGGGCATAGATCATGATACTATGTCAGACAATGTAAAATATTACCGTGTCTCAAATAGTCAAACTAATAGCTACTAAAGAAACTTCATCACAAATAAATTTGGAAATGTTCACAATTGGCTTCATTGTGCACACAATGATGGTTCAGAATATCAGTAATTCAGTTGGTAGAGTACAGATATTGTTGTGCATGCACCGTAGTTCCACAATGTGATCTTCGAGACTCCACCGCGATCATGATATCAGATGGTGCAGTGTGGCTGCAGCATGGAGACTTCTCTTGTACTCAACTGTGATGAGATTAAAAACTGCTGACATAAAATGGAATATCCCTGAACATATGAGAACCCACATTCAAAACAAATGCAGGAAGAAAAAAAAAGTCTGAATTTTTCAACTGTCAGAAAGAAAAAAAAAGAAAAAAAACTACATCCTTATCCCATTATCATTTAATTTACCAACAAGAATATCCACCCACAAAAAAAACAAAAAATAAAATAAAAAATAAAAATCGAGGTTTACATTATTTTTTTTTTTAAATTAAATATTATGCTACCAGCCAGGCATTAAAAGATACTATAGAAAAACAAGAAAAAAAATAAACTGACACCACACAATGTTTGCCTTTAAACGTTACTTGCCACTGCAAGCCTGGATAGTCCATGGCATACTGAAATTTTACAAACTTACATGCAGATGAGATTTTACAGAGTGATTTCCTGATGTTATGCATTATCTCTGCAGATCTTTCATAAAAAAAAAACTAAATCTGAATATATGTTTTTGTTATTATTTGTAATTGCCTATAATCTTTGACAGAATGGAATAGAGCAGATAATGAATTCTAGCGCTTACAAGCTTTTTGAAGATTTACAACCTCCACTCAAGAAAAAAAAAATACACAAAACATACTTTCAGAAATAAAATGGTTTGATATTCTTTTAGTGATTTGTAATAAATGTAAATGCTTTAGCATCAATGTCGGAGCTGTAGAAGATTCTCACACTGATAAATATTTTGACTAAAATTGACAAGAAAAAAACCCCAAAAACTATTAAGCTTTAAAAGAGCGCTCAATTTCATTGCATAATGCCTTAATCATTAAAGGGACACTATAGTCACCTGAACAACCTTAGCTTAATGAAGCAGTTTTGGTGTATAGAACATGCCCCTGCAGCCTCACTGCTCAATCCTCTGCCATTTAGGAGTTTAATCCCTTTGTTTATGAACCCTAGTCACACCTCCCTGCATGTGACTTGCACAGCCTTCCATAAACACTTCCTGTAAAGAGAGCTATTTAGGCTTTCTTTATTGCAAGTTCTGATTAATTAAGATTTTCTTATCCCCTGCTATGTTAATAGCTTGCTATACCCTGCAAGAGCCTCTGTATGTTAATAAAATTCAATTTAGAGATTGAGATACAATTATTTAAGGTAAATTACATCTGTTTGAAAGTGAAACCAGTTTTTTTTTTTCATGCAGGCTCTGTCAATCATAGCCAGGGGAGGTGTGGCTAGGGCTGCATAAACAGAAAAAGTGATTTAACTCCTAAATGACAGTGAATTGAGCAGTGAAATTGCAGGGAATGATCTATACACTAAAACTGCTTTATTTAGCTAAAGTAATTTAGGTGACTATTGTGTTCCTTTAAGCAGTGATCAGAAAACAGATCAATGCTCCCTCCCATACTGGCAACGACCCTCCTCCCGTCTTCTGAGTGAGACCTGGCAGCGATCCTGCTCTGCTTGCCAGGTCTCCTCTGTGCGGTGCAGTGAGTGAGAGGAAGAGGCAGGGCAGGAGGACTTCCTGTGCCTCTTGTCTTGCAGAGTAAAGAAGAAGAGCAGCCTGGCAGAGACACTAGGTATGCTGTTCTCTGCAGCCCTCTCCTCACTGCACCATCACAGATCATCTCTGCCTCCTTTACAGTTCCCTTCTCCCCCTGCACAGACCCCCTCTCCCCCATCCTTCCCCTGCACAGACCCCCTCTCCCCCATCCTTCCCTGCACAGACCCCTCTCCCCCATCCTTCCCCTGCACAGACCCCCTCTCCCCCATCCTTCCCTGCACAGACCCCCTCTCCCTCTCTCCCCCCTTTCCTCCACTGCACAGACCCCCTCTCCTCCCTCCCTCCACTGCACAGATCCCGATAGTCCCCCTCCCTGCTCTGCACAGATCCCCTCTCCCCCTGCACAGCCACCCCTCTGTACTTTAAACAGTCCATCTTCCTCTCCTAAACTGCGATGTTTTCAGCTGCAGGGGTATAACTAGGGGGACTTGGCACCCAGTAGCACACCCTTACAGTTGGGCTACTGTTTGCTGGGTGCCCTGGATGTCTTCTCTAAGGGTGCGTATTTCCTCAGAGAGGGATTTATGGAGGGCAGCGTTCCCCTCCTTTAAGTCAGCTTTGGTCGGTAGGTTCCGAATTAACTCGACCCAGTCCGGGTGTGGATGTTCCAGCCATGTTGGTTGTCATGTGGTGTGGGTGGGCAGGAAAGGCCGAAGGCCTCAGAGTCATTTGAGGCCTGCAAGATCTGTTCGGCCGGTGGCACGAGAAATTGTTGCGTGGCGGAGTTCTGAACCCCTTTGGGGGTGCTGGAGGGCTTATGAGCCTGTGATGTTCTGTGGGTTTTACCCATGTTATCAGTTTGGTATGCTGGTTTGGCGAGGATTATTGCTGCGCCTGCAGGGAGCTCCCGGTTTACGCCGCCATCTTCCTCTGCGTCCAAGCCACGACCCCCAGTTTTACGGTTTTAAACACTCATATTTGTGTTCAGCGAAGTCTCCAGAGTATAACAATAACCCCCATGTACAGGCTTTATGGTGTTTTGAAAAGTTACAGGGTCAATATAGATTAGGCTTGCCCAATTCAGTTTGCCAGATGTTGCCTTTTGAGACCATATGGTATCCCAGAAATGTGAATTAACCCCATCATGGCACACCATTTTCAAATGTAGACAACCCAGGGTATTTAAAATGGGGTACTTCCAGTCTACTGTAGTAGCCACTTTGTCACAAACGTCAGCCAAATTTAATGTTATTTGTTTTTTGCATTTGTTTATACAAAAACTGCACTTTTACTGGTGATACCATCGTCGTGATACGTTTAACTTTTCTAAAACACTCATTTGTGTTCAGCGAAGTCTCCAGAGTATAACAATACCCCCCATGCAAAGGTTTTATGGCGTATTGGAAAGTTAAATTCTATGGGCTGTCTGCCTGGGTTGTCAGGCAGGTTCCTCAAATTATAATTAATAAAATCAAATATATATTTGTTTTGTAGTTATGGTAGATCTCTCTCTCTCTCTCGCACTCCTGTTTAAATTCTTAATGCCTGGCGCAGGTTTGGCAAAATCATGCAGATATAATAGAAAAGACCGCACTCTAAGGTCTTTGTGATAGATTTTATTTGAAAACTATCTTTTATTTAATCCATATAAATACAGGTAATAATTGCCTAGGTGCTACCCACGTTAAGCAGACACCAGGATCTCGAGCGGGAGATCAGGTAAGTGGCTAATTTACTAAATGGTACGTCATTGGTCGGGAAGGGGTTAAATATATTAAAGCGCTTCAGTAACAATAATTATTTAAAGGAACACTGCCCATAGGGGCAAACACCCCCCCCACACCGCAAATAAAATCACTTTAGTAGATATGCCCCAATGAATTACATGCATGTATTCATTGGGTGTATGTCTTAAAAAAAAAAAAGCTTGATAAGGTTGTAAACTGTGTTGGGCTAGAGGCGTTGAGTACTTAATAGAGGGATGTTTGGTGCAGCCACAAACGTCCGCAACTGCACCTAACATGACATGGGTCGAGAGAGGGGCGGCAAACTCAGGGGCAGCCCTGGGTGGAGGTTTTGATAGTTCAATAAAACTATATAGGATTATTAAAGTTAGTTTTTCCAGAGGCTTTCATTTGACACACTGTTTGAATACATACAAGGATTTATTTACTAAACGGTCAATTGTAGTGAACTGAAAAAATTATATAATGTAGACTACACTAGTCAAGCTGTGACTATGGCAGATTTTCAAAATCAACACTTTTGTTTGAAATTTTAAATTCACTGCAATTCTGCACTTAGTGAATAAACCTTATCATAATAATCTTCAGGAAAAACATGACATGATCCCATTATTCACAAGAACAAATACAATAAGCTGTAGTTGTTCTGGTGGCTATAGTGGTCCTTTAAAATCCAAAATATATGGGTATTTTTAATCATCAATTTAGTCAGACACTGCTTTTGTCCAATACCTCAACAAAAATCAATATAAACTAGCAACCATTTTGTTTCCAGGCCAAAGTTTTAATGGCGATAGAGGAGACTACATTTCTAATTCCTGAACATGGAAAGGGAGAACAAATCATTTTATATGTAAAACCACATGCAATAAGAATGGAAATCATGATGATCACATATTCCTATACTGTAGTTGTGGATTAATGTCTGCCTTTATCATTTTTAATTACAAGACTGGGGCATTTTACATTTCTAAGTGAGGTATAGCTCTCAACCTATTTCCTATATCAAGACAGAAACATAAAAAATACAGGAGTGTGCTAAATCCACATTCCCAGATTAAAAATGCACTAAAATAGAAGCACTCAAGCTTATGGTAATGTTACTATTGTAGCATTTATGTTTTATTAGTGAAGTCTTAAAAAGCTTTCCAAATTGCTAACTAGGCGCAACTGGGTGTGGTCAGAGTGCTTATATTCTTTGATTTTGTTGCAGTGCATTAACTTGGCTCTTCCCAAGTTAAAGGACCACTATAGGCACCCAGACCACTTCAGCTTAATGAGGTAGTCTGGTTGTCAGGTCCTTCTAGGGGTAAGAGAAACTGCTATGTTTATAATAGGGTTAATCCAGCCTCTAGTGGCTGTCTCATTCACAGCCGCTAGAGGGCTTCTGCGCTTCTCAGCTGCTTTCCTATGGACTGGCTGAGTACGCGCGCAGCTCCTGCCGCGTATGCGCAGCTCCTGCCGCGTATGCGCATTCAGCCGAGGCAGAGAGCTCCCCGCCCGGCGCTGGAGAAAGAGGTAAGTTTAACCCTTTCCTCCCCCTAGAGCCCGGCGGGAGGGGGACCCTGAGGGTGGGGGCACCCTCAGGGCACTATAGTGCCAGGAAAACGAGTATGTTTTCCTGGCACTATAGTGGTCCTTTAAAAGGGTAACCCAGACATGGACCCCGTGCCTAGAGGGGTACCAGCTACACCTCACTGACGAGGCCCAAAGAATCCTGAAATGATTGTCTGGGGTTTCGGTATCTCTTGTGCAGAGAGAACTTGCTGGCATTTCGGTTCTGGACTGTAGTGTTGCACTGCATGATCCTGCTTTGCTCTATAGAGCAATGTAGCTTCTTCTGCTAGAGCCAGCAAGGTCA